TTTTTGCAAGTGCCATCTCTTCCAGTCAGGATTTCTTCCCTACTAGTCTTCAGATGCCTTCTGGGTCTCAACGCAAATGGCTTCTTCCATGGGAGGACTTCTTTCCTACCATCACTTCGTTCTCCAGCACTCTCACCTTCATCTCCATGATATCATCTTCATGGTGTGTGTCTCATTTGAAATCATGATGGCTATGTGATTGTTTGCTGGTTTATTAAGAGTACCCTTTTCTCCCACTGGACCCTAAGTTCCTTGAGGTCAAGAAGCCTTGTCTTTCATATTTGTCTGTATCTTCAAGGTCTACAACAGTGTTTGGCATGCAGAAACATTCCATCAATAGGGAAGAATGGATGACTAGGGTCACAATCAAACGAGCTTTGGAGTTACAGTTTTAAAAATGCACCTAACTAGTTGGGTACAGTGGCTCACACCTGTAATCCCAACACTTTGGGAGGCTGAGGTGGGCAGATCACATGAGATCAGGAGTTCAGGATCAGCCTCGCCAACATGGCGGAAACCTATCTCTACTAAAAAATACAAAATTAGCCAGGCATGATGGTGCATGCCTGTAGTCCCAGCTACTCCAGAGGCTGAGGTACAAGAATCACTCGAACCTGGGTGGTGGAGGTTGTAGTGAGCCAATATCGTGCCACTGCACTCTAGCCTGGGCAATAGAGTGAGACTTTTGTCTCCAAAAAAAAAAAGAAAAGAAGAAGTAAAATGCACACAGCTAAATATGTCAGGCCCATTCTTGATTGTTCCCTTCAACTATTCGACACCTACATTCTATGATAAAATTTCTTCTAAAACAGTGTATTTGTTTGTTAATTTTTAAAAATTTTTAATTATATATATTTATGAGATATATAATGTATAGTAATCAGATCAAGGTAATTAACATATTTATTATGTCAAACATTTATCATTCTTGTGTTGGGAGCATTCAATATCCTCCTTTTAGCTATTTGATACTATATAATGTGTTATTGTTAACTAGAGTCATCCTACAATGCTGTAGCACACTAGCACTTATTCCTCCTATCTAGCTGTAATTTTGTATATTTAATTGGTCCCTATACCCTCTTCCCTTACCCTTCCCAGCCTCTAATATCCTTTTTTCCACTTTTTATTTCTGAGAGAACAGCTTGTTTTGTTGTTGTTGTTGTTGTTGTTGTTTTCAGCTTCCACATATGAGCAAGAACATGAAAGGTTTCAACTTTCTGTGCCTAGCTTATTTCACTTAACATAATGTCCTCCAGTTCTTTCAGTGTTGCTGTGAAAGAGAGGATTTCATTCTTTTTTATGGCTGAATAGTGTTCCAATAGTGTTCCATGCTATTCATCCACATTCTTTATTCATTCAACTGTGAAAGAGAGGATTTCATTCTTTTTTATGGCTGAATAGTGTTCCATGCTATTCATCCACATTCTTTATTCATTCAACTGTTTTTAGACACTTAGGTTGATTTTATATCTTGGTTATTGTGAACAGTGCTGCAATAAACATGGGGGTGCAGATGTCTCTTTGATGTATTCATTTCCCTTCCTTTGGATAAATGCCCACTTGTGGGATACTAGATCATATGGTAGTTCCATTTGTAGCTTTCTGAGTGATGTGGTTTGGCTGTGTCCACATACAAATCTCATCTTGAATTGTAGCTTCCATAATTCCCATGTGTTGTGGGAGGGACTGGGTGGGAGATCACTGAATCATGGGGTGGTTTCCCCCCATACTGTTCTCATGATAGTGAATAAGTCTCAAGAGATCCGATGGTTTTATAAGAGGAAACCCCTTTCACTTGACTCTCATTCTCTCTTGTCTGCAGCCATGTAAGACATGTCTTCTGCCTTCTACCATGATTGTGAAGCCTCCCCAGTTATGTGGAACTGTGGGTCCATTAAACCTCTATTTCTTTATAAATTACCTATATCAGGTACCTCTTTATCAGCAACGTGAAAATGGACTAATACACTGAGGAACCGCCATACTCTTCTCCATAGTGGTGTGTTACAAACACATAACCCTGAATTCAAAAGAAAGCCAAATCTATAGAGCAGTTACCGTGACGGTGTGGAGGCTGTAGTTAAGGCAAGGGTGAGGTCTGCAGCCCCACCCATTTTGCCCCATCCCACCTTCTTTCTGCTATCCTTAAGGCACCTGTATAGCCTCTTAGTATAAATTTTCAGGTTTTGTAAATCATTCTGCCAAAAAGACACAGGCACTCATATGTTCATTGCAGCACTATTCAGAGTAGCAAAGACATGGAATCAACCTAAGTGCCCATCAGTGGTGGATTGGGTAAAAAATTTAAAAACGTGGTATATATACACCAAGAAATACTACACAGCCATAAAGAAGAATAAAATCATGTTCTTTGCAGCAACATGGATGCAGCTGGAGGCCATTATCCCAAGTGAGCTGATGCAGGAACAAAAAATCGAACACTGCATGTTCTCACTTATAAGTGTGAGCTAAACATTGGGTACACGAGGGAGCAACAGACACTGGGGACGACTAGAAAGGGGAGAGAGGGAGGGGAGCAAGGGTTTAAAACTACCCACTGGGTGTTATGCTCACGACCTGGGTGATGGGATCATTTGCACTTCAGACCTCAGTGTCACGCATCATGCCATGTAACAAACTTGCAAATGTACCCCCTGAATCTAAGATAAAAGTTGAAATTACTTTTTAAAAAAATGTGATAGTTTGAGAGAAATTTTTTTTCAGTTCTGGAAAATGCTGGCAAGTACGCTGTGGACAAATAGGGAGCCTCTGTGGTCAAGTCCTTTTAGGAAGTACATGATTATTTCAAGAAATACTTACTAAGTGTGTAGGACATCCCAGAAATTGTGTCAGTTGCTGGGATACAGCGAAGAACAAGACAAGCACAGTTCCTGCTCTTGAGGACCTTATAATCAAGGGATTAAAGGAAATTCTACCAGGGTAAAGAACATAAATGGGATCCCGCGCTCACGGACTGTGCTGTGCATGAGCTAACGTATTCTGGAAATATGTGGGTATATGTTTTGCCTAAAGTTAGTGAGCATGCCACAGGTCTAGTGTTCCACAAAGCAGGCTTTGGGAAATGCTTGTCAGGGCCAATTGCTGTCAGCATCATCAGGGAGTGAACTCTATACCATTACCAATTTTCAAAGCATTACAACATTAAAAAATGTAAATAATCCTGGATGACTCAATCGGTTTGATCTCTGATGATTCATAAGGCATTTTGAGACTGCTGTGTCTTGGATCATCCTCTAAACATGGGTTATCTTTGTAGTTTTAGCATGTGGATGTATCCATTAAAGGACTCAATATCTAGCTGGTCAGCTTCAAGAGGGTTCCTGTTTTGTGTTTATATCAGTTTGTGGTCGTGTCTCTTGTGCTCACTTTTCTAGTCATTCATAAGAGAATATATTAGAACAGAAATGCCTGTAGAGAGATTTTAACCTTGAAAATATGCTTCCTCCCCAAAATTAGGCAGAGAATTCCAATCAAAGGAGAGAGCTCCTGTCATTCATCCTATCCCTGGAATGGAATTAATTGCTTCTTGCTATGTGTTTCCAGAATGTTGTACATGCAACTATAGATAGCGTTTATCACAGTGATTATTACTCATGACAACCAGGCAGTGCATGGTATTTTGTGCCAGGTGCTTTGCAAAGTATTTTCCATATATTGTTGCTTCTACTTCTAACATTCATAGGCATTAGGTCCTAGCACTATTCCTGTTTTAAGGATGAGAAGACTGAAGTTCAGAAAGATAAATAATTGCCCAAGACAACATGATGAATAAGTTGAATTCCATGATGAGTAAGTGGGATTCCAGAATTTAAACCTAAGCCCAAATAATTCCCACGTCTACACTCTCTCCTCCATATTTCCCAATTAATAACTTAAGAATCCACCATGACCAGTTTGGATCTTCAACTTCTTGAGTGACGTATTTGAGTTTCATTCAGCCTAATGCAGTTCATGGTGTCCAGTGAGTGCTCAGGAAAGGCTAGTTGAATGAACTGTGAGAGACAATATGGTACAAAGAAGAGAGCTTTGGGTTAAATAGCAAGAAAACTGTATCTTTCTTCAGAATATGTAAGTAATCTACCATGTGACCCCGAACAAGCCCCTTCTTCCTCTCTGAACCTTGGTCTTCCCATCTGTAAAGTGGGAGGATTGGGAAAGATGATTGCTAATATGATCCTTCCCTGTGAGTCCAAATGACCTATAGTGGGAACTGGTGCTACGTAATTCAAAAAACATCAGGGTTCCCAAGAAGATAGACATAGTGTTGTTTGTTTCTGACATCTTCAATCCTTAGCAAAGTGCCAGGCATACAGTCATGTTCAATTAGTATTCACTGAATAAATGAGTGGATACTGAGACTCATCCAAAGCTCTGTTGAGCATAAACACATCCCAGATCCCACATCCCAGAAAGAAGCAAAAAGTCACTTCCTTGTAAGGGAAGATGGATCCACTAGTGAACCACAGCACTGGCTCAGCCTTTCAAGAATACAGTGGTTAGAGTCCAGCCACAGGGAAAGACGGAAGCTGGGGATGGAAGGGCCCCCCAGCATCCCCTCACCACCCCACCCCACTCATGAACTCAAATTCCTGGGTCAGATCTTTCATCACCAGTATGTAGCCTCTGGAAAACATAAAGGAGAATGGTCCAAATCTTGCTTTGTAAGCTTTGCCTTACATATCAGCCTCCCTAAAACAGAGGAAGAAGAGACTCAGGAAGCCAAGAGACATGGCCTTCCAAAAATCCTTTGATGGGAAATAAATAAATATATCAATCCAAGACGTCATTTTTTCTTTGTTAGGAAAACATGTTTTTCTTGTTTGCTGACCCTCTAGCATTTTGGAGCTTGGGGAGTTGACTGGGTGCCTAGTATCCATGAACGTTTGCAAGTTCATCACCCTGACCTTCTTGGCTGTTAAATCTTAACACTGGTTGCTGGAAAGTGCTTTGACTTAAAAAAAAAAAAAAAAAAAAAAAAAGAAAGAAAAAACTTTGTTTGCTTTTTTTTCCCCAAACACCCTCATCATCGAGCTTATACTTTGGGACTATGTGTAAGGTTTTGTCAGGTAGACTATAGATTTCCACGCAGATAGCCAGAGTTTTCCTTTTCCCATGAACTCCCTGGAATTCACCTGAAAACTTACTGATTATTTATATTCTAGCGTACTTTCAGGAAAGCCATCCAGGACTTTATATCCTCAGGAAAACTGACAAATCTAATCAATTCTTGAGATACAGTTCTGTAAAGTCTTATTCATTTGAATGCCATCAGTTCAGAATTTTTGGATAATTCAGACAGTCTGGATAGAAGTTTCCTTTTGCACGGCTCTACAAAAACAGTTTCTTAACAGATTGATAATGCAAAGCAGACTGTCGGAGCAGAGAATAAATTGTCATCAAGTCCTTCAGAATAGCATTCACAGAGAAGCAGTCAATGGTTAGTTACAAATTATTTTTATCAAATAATTAAGGTTGAATCCCAGGCAATTCACCCTATCTTAGCAAAAGCATGGTACAGGGGCAAAAATAGGGCTTTCAATGTATCCAGGCACGGGCTCAAATTCCAGCTAGGCATCTCATGAGCTTAAATTACTGTGCAGAAGCCACTTGACTTCTCTGAGTCTTAATTCTGACATAAGGGAAAGTTTGCAGGACGGACATGAGAATTGGAACTCACATAGGAAAAGACAAAGTTTCCTAAACTATGCTCAGAAGGATTTTAAGTATATAAGATGTTAGCACTTAGTGCATGAAAAAGGGATCCATGGTTTAAGAAGTTTAGGATAAGCTAGGCTAAACAAAATTAAATGTGTTTGCATGCTTGCTTTGTTTGTTTATGTGCAGACCTTCTCAGAGCCTTTAATATTATGCTTTATATTGTGAATCTCCAAAAGAAGGTTATCAGTTCTCCTCCTAGGGAACTATGATAAATATGGCAGTCATTATCGACAAACTGGGGGGTATCTATAAGGAACTGGGGATAGTGTTAAAGGGTGGATCCAAAAGTGTCAAGATTAGTCCCTACACTAATAAAATTGAAAATGGAATTGGTAAGACAGGACTGGTCCTTGGCAAACCCAACAGGAAGGCAGAGGGCAGGAGAGTCCATTGATGTGTCTATATAGGTCAGTTTCCAGAGGCAGAGAGCAGGGTGGGGAAGGGTGGAGGGTGACCTAAGGGAAAAACAGAAAATATTTGGGATTGAGACACTGTTTTAGAAAGAGTTGTCAGGGATCTTCCCTATGAGAAAGTGATGTTAGAGGGAAGACTTGAATGACAGGCACCAATAAGCTTTGCAGAGATCTGGGGAAAGAACATTTCAGGTAGCACCACTTTGGGATCTTTTGGGAAATTCACGGGACATGATGAAATAGAAGGAAAGAAGGTCAGTTGTGAGGATGCTTGAATAAGGTAAAGAGTATCAGCAAATGAGGCCTAGATGAACAGAAGTCCAGGCAATGTAGGGCCTTGAGAATAAGAAATTCATTTTAAAAAAAGAGAAATCTCTGATGCTTACAGCTGCAGAGAACAAAACAGAAATCCCCGCCCCACCCCATCATTTGAATAAATGGAAGGGAGGATGGTATCGGTAAAACAAATGATACAAAAAATGACACAGAGGCAGTAATTCACCTTGCAGGTCGGGGCAACTGGAAGGGAATCCATCCATGGGTAATGTAAACCATTTCTTCCAAATCTCCTCCATCCTTTCTTTCCTTCCTTCCTAACAGCTTTATTGAGAAATAATGTACATATGATGAAATTTACCCACTGAAACTATACAACTAAACGGCTTTTAGTATATTTATGGAGTTGTGCAACCATCACCACCATCTAATTTTAGAACTTTCCCATCACCTTGGAAAGAAACCTTGTGCCCATTACAGTTATTTCCCATTCCCACTCCAGTCCCAGGCAAATGCTTATCTACTCCATGTCTATACATTTGCCTTTTCTGGACATTTAAATAAATGAAATCATAAAATATATGATCTTTTACATCTGGCTTCTTCTACCTAACATCATGCTTTTGAGGTTCATCCATGTTGTAGCGTGTTTCAGTGCTTCATTCCTTTTTATTATCCACTAGTGTTTCGTTGCATGGCTTTACCATGTTTTGTTTATCTGATCACCAGTTGATGGACATTTGAGTTCTTTTCACTTACTGGCCATTGCAAACATTTATGTGCAAATTTTATGTGGATGAATGTTTTTTGTTTTTTTGGTTTTTTTGATTAATGCCTATGAGCGGAATTGCTGGGTCATGTGGTAAGTCTATGTTCAATGACTTGAGAAACTGCCACAAGTTTCTTAATTTGTTTTTCAAAGCAGCTGCACCATCAACTCTTTTTCTTAATTTGTGAAATGTGTGAGTCTTCATCTTTGTCTTCAGCTGATTGGAGCAAACAGGAGCACATGATCTAAATTGGACCAATCAGTTTTTCCTTCCTAAGATGATCTTATGAGGACACATTGGTGGATGTATGTTTGTATCTACAGTAGTCTGAATAATAGACATGTGCAATAATAGATGTAGAAAAGCTGACCACAAAGACAGGAAGTTGACCTATATAGAGAGAAACAAGTGACAAGCCAAATGAAACCAGCAGAGGTGGACAAAGTAGTCTCAGGTCCTGGGTTTCTGGGTTCCTGGTTCCAGGCCCTGATGAGGCCTATCATGCACCTTTGACCTTGTCATCTTCAACATATCCCAATGTCCTGTAATATGTTCCAACAACTACAAATTCCTTAACTAACTCAACACATTTTGCCTATAGCAATGACTGGGTAGAAGAATAAAATAGGCTTAACACTTAAACTATAACAACACAAGCATTTATAAGGTACATACCATGTGTTCAGCACTATATGAGTGCAATATGTCCTGAACTTCAAATAGCACATAGTAGGGTAATTAAAGTTCTAGCAAATTGTCACGGAAGAAATAGAGATGAGCAAAAAGTAGATGAATATTTTTTTTAATAGAGAGCTTTTTAAAAATGTTGTTCAAGTAGGTCCTTGTACAATTTAATGGAAAAAAAGTAATGTAATGAAAAGCTGTCAAGATTATGGAGTTAAAACTCCTTAGGTGCTGAAAGAGCTTGAAATAAAAGACAACCCTTAAGTATCAAGCATTATAATTATATGCTCCTTTAAAGAACCACAGTCAGTTCTCCTGGCGACTAATCCTGATCGTCTGTCAAGAACTGGAGACGGAGAAGTCACACGAATGTTGGGCAGGATCGTCTAATTCTGGGGCCATCTTGTGGCTTCCTCCTTCCCCCAGGAGCCTGTCTGTGTCATAACAAAGACTTCATCACAAATTGCTTCCTTGATTCTCCCAAACCTTGCCGGGGAAGAAAAGATAGAAAAGAAAAAGTAGTCTCAGTGAAGGAAATATGTGAAAGATCATGGGGAAGGAAATACAGCAGAAAAGTTTCTTTTTTCTTTTTCTTTCTTTCTTTCTTTCTTTCTTTCTTTCTTTCTTTCTTTCTTTCTTTCTTTCTTTCTTTCTTTCCTTCTTTCTTTTCTTTCTTTCTTTGTTCTTTCTTTCTTTCTTTTCCTTCTTTCTTTCTTTTTGAGACAGGGTCTCACTCTATTGCCCAAGTTGCAGTGCAGTAGCTCAATCTCAGCTCACTCCAACCTCCACCTCCTGGGTTCAAGCAATTCTCCTGCCTCAGCCTCCAGAGTAGCTGGGACTATAGGCACATGCCATCACACCTGGCTGATTTTTGTATTTTTAGTAGAGACAGAGTTTTGTCATGTTGGCTAGGCTGGTCGTGAACTCCTGGCCTTATGTGATCCACCTGCCTTGGTCTCCCAAAGTGCTAGGATTACAGGTGTGAGCCACCATGCCCAGCCAAAAGTGAGACTCTCTGGGATAAATTTCTTAATTAAAGGGTCTATATGTTTCCTGTTATTTGTTTGGTCTCTCAATAGAAGATAAGCCCCAGGAGGGTAGGAACTGTGTCTGGAGTGGTCACCATTGAATCAATATTCTTCTAGAGCAGTATTGGGTGTATAGTAGAGATTCTATTACTACTCGTTGAATAGATGAATGAAGCAAAGTATAGTATTTCTTGCTTCCTTATTTCTCAGTTCATGTCAACTTAAGATCTTGCCAGGAGGTACACAATGCAAGAAAAATATTACAGGTGATAAACTATGGAATCTCTGACAACATGTGAAAGACCCAGGGGAGCCTCTCACATGAGATGGGAGATTTCAGCAACTGCAGTGAAGCCTAGAAATGAAAAAACGTTTCATTTCACCTATGCATGTATATCCTTTGTTCATCTCATTGTCATTAAATGTGCTAGGCTCATGCTAAAACCAGAGATGATTCAGTGGTACCTTTTTTTACAGCAGAAAGAACAGACTTGTGAAATGGTCTTTCTTCAGTGACTTACTACACTGTAGTTCAGCACTGTACACTAGAAATCTAAGGCAACCCACGTTCGTAATTTTAAATTTTCTACTAACCTGGGCAACGTGCAAGAACCCTGTCTCTACCAAAAGAGTTACAAAAATTAGCTAGGCATGCTGGTGCGCATCTGTAGTCCCAACTACTTGGGAGGTTAAGGTGGAAGAATCATTTGAGCATGGGAGGTAAAGGTTGCAGTGAGCCAAGATCGCATCACTGTACTCCATTCTGGGTGACAGACCAAGATCCTGTCTCAACGATAATAAATAAATAAATAAATAAATAAATAAATAAATAAATAAATAAATTTTCTAGTAGTCACATTTTAAAAAGTGAAAAGTAACAAAATTAGTTTAAATAATATATTTAAGTGATTTTATTCAAAATATTATCCTTTCATCATGTAATCATAAAACTTATCAGTGAGACACGTTACATTTTTTTTGCATCATCAGTTTTTAAAATCTGGTGTATATCTTATGCCAATAACGCATCACACATGGATGCTCGATTTTGTTGAAAATTCTTGATTTATATTTAGAATTCACAAAATTTACAGTCAAAAAGACTTTAAAAGCCTTCCAATAGCTGAATCATGTCAGTTTTTAAATCTGAATTTAAACTAATCAACTTTAAATAAAATACAGAATTTAGTTACTTAGTTGCACTAGCTACACGACAAGTACTCAGTAGCCACAGTGCCTAGTGGCTACCATATTAAATAGCATTGATAAAGAGCATTTCATCACTGCAGAAAGCTCCACTGGACAGTGTTGCTTTGGGTTATCTAAGAGGACTACAAGCACTGAGAACAGGCACATGTTTTGCCCTGTATTGTATTTCCTACCACAGTAATTAACACATGAAAAGTGTCAGCAAATCAGTGTTGAAAAAATAAATGAATGAATGGCTGTTGTCACATCACAGAGGTTGGAGGGTTTAAAGAAGACTTTATAGAAGAAGAGACATTTATGATAGGTTTTCACATATGAGTAGGAGCCTGTTAGACAAATATTAATAATAAGATGAAGACAGAGCAAGAGCCTGGTGGACAGAGGAAGAGCCTGGTACACAGGTGCTGAATTAATTGTTTAAGTCTAATATGTTGTTAAAAGGGTATTCTGTCATCCATTTGTTTTGCAAAATCAAGATGAAATCAAACTTTTCCAAAAGTCAAGATGAAATCAAACCTCACTACTTTCTAGCTGTGCATTCTTGGGAATATCACTTAACCTCTCTTAGCCTCAGTTTTCTCATCTGTAAAATGAGAGTACTAATTTCAAAGGGTTGTTTTGAGGACTAATAAAATAATAGATGCAGAGTGTTTACCACAAAGCCTGGTGCATAATAAATGATCAATCAATGTTCAGTGTTGGCCATTATTGTGTCCAGTGTTTAGTGAGTTGTGGTAGAAAAGGTGCTAGATGCCACTCCAATATCTCTTCTCCTCTTTCTTTGTGTCAGCACCCTGGCTTTTAACAGTCCAGAGTCATGTCCTGGCTGAAAACCTAAGTCTCTCAGTCCTTTTATAGCCAAGAGCAGCCATCAGGCTGGGTTTTCATCAACAAAGTTTTACACAGAAATGTTGTGTGTTATTTCTAGGATGTTGCTGCAGAGGGAAGGAGTCCTCTGCTTTTCTCCTTCCTGCTGTTCTGAATGCAACTGACAAGCTAAGGCTGGCAGATCAGGACATTCTGCAGCACCTTGGTTCCCAATGAGTGAGAAACTTCACGTGAGGGCAGTGGTAGGCAGTCATTTCCAGTCTTCTTTCACTACAGAACCAACTTGCCAAGGACCATCTCTTGGGACCATCATTCTGTGAAACAGAGTTTGAGAAATATATTTTAGGTGATCTGGAAGGAATGATGAGGTGGTTAGTGGCTGAGATTCAGTGAAATCCATCTATAAACAGTGGGTGAGGCTTCCGACCTTTCGGGATGTTGGAGGGACGGTGAGATTTCGGCAGGGCCAATGGTCACCTCGCAGCCCCATGGCTGGGCCCAGTCATCAGTCTGTGAGGTCAAGGGGACCGTAGGTGGTTTGGTGGCCAACAGCAGTGACTGCTTCACCATATGGCATGGGTTTGTAGTTTTTCTGCCATGCAGCTGCATGTTTATTGTGGTTCTCCTGCTGATTGTCAACTGACATTACACACTAAAGAATGTTCCCGTGCCTCTCAAATGTATCATGGCTTCTCATAAACTTTTGTTTGTTGTGGCTGAAATACGGGACGATGAGACCTTTTTCAGCCTGTATTTTTGGAGCAGCTGTTTGATGTTTGTAAGAGAACATTTCTTTGTGTGCTTTAAACCACCGTAGATGGGAGTAAAGTCAAGAAGTGACTCCTTACTGCACTTTAGAGAAATTTTATCATGGCTTTGGACAATATTTTTCTTAAACTCTCTACCAAAACTTGGTACATCAAGCCAAGCAAGTTGGAATTATTCACAGAGAGGAAAGTATCTTTAATCCTTAACTAGGTTATGGTATCCTTATGAAAGAATTGAAGTAGGCGTTACTCCAGAGACTCACATGAATTTTCATTATCGTAGCCCAGCACAGAGCTTAAGCAATTCTATGCTACTAGAGTTATTTCTTTATCCTGCAGCACGGGCCAAAAATTGGGGTCCCTTGATTTGCTGACCCAGTATAGCATTCAGAAGAAATGAAATAGATCCATTGGGCTTCTGTGCTTGCCAGGCCAAGTGAGCATTGAGGTTATAAAACCTTATATGAATATGATATTATCAATAAATGAGAATTACTATTGTTAAGAGTTATTGTGATGATTTTCAAATAACCCTGCCAACTATGTTTCTAATGTTAAGAACAGATAAATTCCATTAGCAGCTTCCCATAAGCATGATGCTAAGTGCTTTACACAAATAATCTCAAACCTCCCAATAATCCTAGGAGGTAGGAATTATTAATGGCATTTCACGGAAGAGGAAAGTGAAGATCAGAAAAATTAAGTAATTGCCCAAGGACACACATCTGAGACTGGTGTCCAATCTAAGGCTACTAGACTCTCAGGACCATGAGCTTAACACATTATTCTGCAATTACTGCTTAACAGCTACTATGCAACAAAGTAATGAGACTGTTCCTCCTTCTTCTCCTTCTTCTTCTTCTTCTTCCTCTTCTTCTTCTTCTTCTTCTTCTTTTTTTTTTTTTTTTTTGAGATGGAGTCTCACACTGTTGCCCAGGCTGGAGTGCAGTGGCGCAATCTCAGCTCACTGCAACATCCACCTCCCTGGTTCAAGCAATTTCCTTGCCTCAGTCTCCTGAGTAGCTGGGATTACAGGCGCATGCCACCATACCCAGCTAATTTTTTTGTATTTTCAGTAGAGGTGGGGTTTCACCATGTTGGCCAGACTGGTCTCAAACTCTTGACCTCAGGCAATGCGCCCGCCTCGCCTCTCAAAGTGCTGGGATTACAGGCGTGAGCCACCGCCCCTGGCTGAGATTGCTACTTCTTCAGTGACCATAATGTTTACTATTACTCCATAGGAAAAGCATTTGGGAAGATATTTTTTCTGAATGCATTAAAGCAACATATTGGACTTTCCTTTTCTCATCCTTGAAATGGAGTGCTGACTTCAACAGAGTGTGGTGAGGATTAATGAGGTAGTGAATGAGAAGATGGTGGTAGGAGCCTAAGTCTCAGCTAGTGGGATTTGAAATGGTGGGGTTTTAAATTTTCTCATCTGAGCTAGTTCTTTCAGTGTACATTTGGCTTGATTTAAAAAAGAAAAAAAAATAGATTTTCAAAATGGAACCCAAGGCTGTTCAACTCAACGCTTTCCATACCATTACAGCCTCTGCAAATGAGGTTGGTGGTTGCAGTTAGTCATGATTAATTCTGTTAGGCACGCACATATCTTAAAACCACAACTGCCAGATTTTGTGAGCTGAGATGTTCC